TGATTACAGATTCATTAACTACTTATCAGTCATAAAAAAGTAACAATAACCCGTTGAAGATTATCATCGCATAGGTCAGCTGTCGAGACTGGTAGATGTATGTTGTCAAAATATAATTCCATATGAAGATAGAATATGCCTTAGCTGTCACGAGCTAGAAGATGAATTTCACTTTGTTATTGAATATCTAGATTTTTCTAGATTTAAATTAAGGAAACCATATATCTGAAAATAGTTTTGGAGGCACTTGGGCTATAATATTTTTGCAATTATTAAATAGCGAAAACAAAAAGCAATGATATCCGAAATCTTGCAACTTATGTATATAAAGTTTTGAAATAGAAAGGAAAACAAATCAAAATACATAAAACTAGCTATTTTGTCAATTTCAAATCTTTTTCATCTGCATAAGTACATAACGTTTGGACATTTTTATTATGATATCTCTCCCAAAATGATAAAATTATTAAAATGTTTTAGTATTTTCATTATGCCCATTTATTTAAAGAAATTGATATTTGTACATATATGTATATTCAATAATTTGCCATCTCACCATGAATGAATTGATAGATCGTATGTTTTTATTGATGTTATGCTCATGGGTGATGGATACGAGTATATGATGTATTGCATAATAAAGCTTCTTCTTCATCTATATTCAATGAAGACTATTCACTGCCTGGAACATTATACAATTTTTATAGCAAATAAACAATACAAACTTATATACATGACCATAAAAGATATTAATTTCTCTTTTCGTATTAAGGATCTTCGATTCCTAAGAATTTATAGTGTCACTCTTTACGTGTTTCATTTTCAGAAAATGTGCAAAATCCATTTTGAAAATGTGATGTAAATTTATCGTATGAAGATATTTAAAAGGACATCAAATTTAGGCATATGTTTATTTCGTATATATTGATTATTGAATAGCCTGTCGCAACTTCACAAGATTCATTTTTATTTTATGCTTTTCAGTGGATTACTGATTTATCCGTGAAAATTATATTTGATAATTTCACAGTGAAAATTATCAAAATATAATTTCATTTTTTTCAATGACGAAACTACTTTTTTAAGATTTTCCCCATGTGGTACCTCAATTTTATTTTTACCGACAATTCTGACAATGTCAGGCTGTTAAAAGAAATAGCAAAGCTGAAATAGATAAATAACTTAAATGTCAAAAGTAACACAGAGAGAAAACTTACTTCTATTCCTTCAAATTCCAATCACCAAATTTTGTCTCTAAATTTTTTTTGTTTCGTTTTTACAGTCTGAAAAATACATTCCTTCCCCATGCAAAACGGGCTCTTGATGACATTTGGGCATATTTAAGTATCCTACGAGCAATAACTGCCGTATGCTTTATGAAAAATTGAAAAGCATTGACAGCCATCACTCGTAAAATAAGTTAAAACAACCCAGCGTTCCTTCAGCAAGCTTCCAATTTTTCCATTTTCCTAGCTCCTTTTCTGAATGTTTTCACTTCTGTCAACACTTATTTTTTGTCTGTTACAATCCTCAAATAAGTTTTCTTTCTTTTAAAAAGGTGTATGACTAACAAATCCAAATTATATCCTTCTGAATCTTACACAATTATTTTCCTCCCATGAAATACACAACTTAAAAAAATGGCTGCCGTTTACATTTTAGAAAGCCAGGTCTAATATAAATTCGCAGTAAGTAACAGAATTATGGATGGATGGTTGGAATTTTCTCCTGCAATAATTGTTTGTTTTTATGATTAAAACAAGCGATCATTCATTTTTTTTAATAAAATGAATAAATATCATCGTCATTTAACCTTGATTGGCGGACTTATTTTTCAGCTCAAGACTTCTTGTTTTTAATGAGAAATTCCGTCTAAATGGGGCTCTCAATGGGGGAAACAGATTTTAATATTAACGTTAAAATTATGGAAATTTCGTTTTAACTTGTTTTTAAGCATAAAATAAAAAGAAAATTTGTCTGTTTGTTGTGTAAGATGTAATTTTATTTCATCTCGTGAACTTTAAAAACAGCATTCTCACTCGTGGCTACGCCACTCGTGAGAATACTGTTTTTAAAGCTCACTCGATGAAATAAAATTTCATCTTACACACAAACAAACAAATATCCTCTATTTAATTGTTTAAGATATGCATGTATTTATATGTATAATGTAAAATCTTAAGTTTTTGAGGTTAATCAATATATGTTAGCTGATTTCATTACTGTACGGATGTTTGTCGTTTGCTTTCATGTTTAATTGCTTGTTTGTTACAGTCTATACATGTATACTTGTATTTGTATTGCGTGATTTGCGTATATGCATTTACTGGTACTTCGGAATTTTAAAAAATTGTAAACAATTCTACTGCATTAATTTAGGCTCATAAGAGATACAAACTATCCTACTGCAAGATGTTGCAAAACATCGACTAATTCTGTTAGAACTGTTATTGTTATTGTCATAAAAATAGTTCGTAATTAAATAGGTGAAGGGTACTTTGTTTATTTTATAAAAAAAGTTTTAAGTTATAAATCTATTAGAGTATCCCGCTCTGTTTTCATAGCCCATAAAATGATAAACAACAAATTAATAATGCGAACATTCTTTTTCGTTGGCAATTCATTATTTTTAAAAGTTAGAAAAGACTATTTCTAAAATATTTTTGCTTGCGACATATTAAAGAATAGTTAAAACACTGGCTATAGTCACATTTAATTTGTTAAGCACTAAGTTGTCAATTAAGTCAATTGTTTTTAATCAGTCAAAAAAATCAAAGAAATGATACCATTCAATATTTGACATCATCCATAACCAAACATAAAGTTTAGTATCGCAAAAGGCTGGAATTTCGAAAGTGCACCAGATTTAAAAAAAATGGTATATCAGACCAAAACATATGTAGAACATATCCAGGTTGTAATCATTGTATCTAATTATACGTATTTAGACCCTAGACATTGCAAAAATACAAGGAAGTAAGAATTATCATGCCTTACATTCCTTAATAATACTCATTCTGGAGTTCTAAACTATCAATAATAGTTTTCTGAACGTTAAAGGCCCGTTACGCTTTAGAAATGATTTTTGTTTCTCAAAAGCTTTTTAGTTGGGACGTAGTCCCAACTAGTGCACTTACAAACCCGAAATTTCCAACCATACAGGGTAACGCCCACTGCTGTGACGTTTCATCGCCACTCTATATGCTATATTGTATTCTAACATATCAACGTAAGCTGAATTCATAGTGATCACCCGACCATGACCGACGCATAACCGCCGCGAGTGAAAAATAGTGCTCTGAATTTCTGAAAACTTCGATTTATTGCGAACAGAAGAGGAGACAAGAAATTTATTATTGGAAATAATGTGCAATTGAGCTTGAATTACGGTATTAGAAACGTAGCGGATACAATTTGAAAGGTCACATAATTCTATGAATGGGATAGTAAATTAATTGGGTCATAGTGCTTGACGGCTTGCAATATTTAACTTACTCATCCGCCTTATCATCACATTTTTTTGTATTATATTCCAGAAATTTTTGAAAAAGACATTATTTATCGGATAAATTTTGTAGTTTATAATTGCAAAGTGGATATTGAAATAGAATTAGCCAGAGATGTAGATAATCTATTCGTCTCTGAATTAGCCGATAATTAGGTTAAATGAATCCGACAACTTCCGGTATATTTTTTGACCTACTTCACGAGCATAATTATCAGCCTGTTAAGCTCATAAGGTAAGTTATAAAGCAAAATATGTTATGAATTTGATGAATAATAATATTAAGTTTATTTATTGATGCCAATTTGTTTCCGAGGACTAAAACTTTCGTAAATAATTTCGAAGTAATTTGGAGATCTCGAGTCTTTCGTACCCAAGACATTTCGATCATACTTAGACAGTTAGACTGCAAATCGACAGATTTTACAAATTGATATTACACAGATGTCTGCCTTTACAGGAAAACCGGCATATATGCCTACAATTTTTTGGTCTTGTCACGGCCGTTACGTCTCTACCAAATGGGGCACATTCTTGAATATTTCAGAATAATTTTATTTTGACCTTTATAAATTATTATATCTATATCTATTTAAAGTCTAGCCATTTCATTTTGGGTCATCTTTTTACAATTTGAATAATTATTCTGGAAAAACAAAGTGCGCAAATGATCTAAAGGTTTGTACAAAGATTAGTGTTCTAAACATTCATCAAATGGTACATTTATCTGGAAAAAATATTTCAGTTCCATCATGACAAAATACCTCAATGGAACCCCTTTAAATTGAATTACACTTTTTTTAAATGTATGGGTAAATTCCATTTTCAGTGGTTGAAATTTTTCCTCTTTTCTCATTAATCAAGCTATAGTTTCCCATTTATAAAGCCACAGGTTGTTTTGAAAGTTGAAAAAAAAAATCACTGCCACCTTGATAATTGTTAACCTGAAAAATCTTCAGGCACTTAAAGGGATTTGAACCCCAGACCTCTTGATTACGAGGCAGACACACAACCATGTCGCGAAAATGTCAACACAACAGCAAGACTGTTGGAAATGATCTATACCTGTTCTCAATACATGGTTGAAGTAATTTATCAGTGTTTAAATTAGACATTTTATATGATTTAACAATTTTTGACACTACTGATATTCACATTTTTTTCACAAATCTACATGTAAAAAATAAAGATCATAATAAAATGATAGAACATTTTCTATTTTAGTGGTAATACTGTGGAGTAATATGAAGAAATATTATTAATATTTTATTATCATAATTTTTTCAAATTTTAATTATGTCATTACATGCTGTACACAATCATATTATTGTGTAAACATATGATATATATACATTGTATAGACACATATATACATTGTATATACACACACTAAGAGAGTAGTATTAGATGAATTTGAAAATGAAATCTCTAAATTGATATTTTCAGGGAAATAAAAGATCATTTACTTTAATATTCACTTGGAAAGGCTGGTACATGTAGCTAGAAAAAAGTACAGTATAAGATTAAACAAAGACTAGAAGATTATTACAAACAACAGGTACTTATATAATATTTAATGTATATTTCACAAACCAAACTGTTTTCCAAAAAAAATTAATGAAAACAATATTTGACCTAGAGTCATAAGATTGACAGAACAGTGGCGTGTGGGGGCATCCGTGTCCTATGGACACATTTCTAGTTTCACTTATATACTATGTAGAAATTTTGTGAACGCAACTCCTCTTAAACCGGATGGCAAATTTTGCTTAAACTTACAGGGATGAACAACCTTCAGGTGTAGATGGTAGTAAAGGAAAGAATTTTTGCTGCGACCAAATTTTACAGAATTATGGCCCTTTGTTGATTTTTTCACGATAATTACTATGTAGAAATTTTGTGAATGCAACTCCTCTTAAATCGGATGGCAGATTTTGCTTAAACTTCCAGGGATGAACAACCTTAATGTGTAGATGGTAGTAAAGAAAGAAATTTTTGCTGCAACCAAATTTAACAGAATTATGGCCCTTTTTTGATTTTTTCATTATATACTATGTAGAAATTTTGTGAACGCAACTCCTCTTAAACCAGATGGCAGATTTTGCTTAAACTTCCAGGGATGAACAACCTTAATGTGTAGATGGTAGTAAAGGAAGGAATTTTTGCTGCGACCAAATTTTAGAGAATTATGGCCCTTTTTTTGATTTTTAGTTTTCAACTTGTGGCACATGTAGTCCAAAAAAATATTTGACCTAGAGTCATAAGATTGACTGAACAGTGGCTTGTGGGGGCATCCCCGTGTCCTATGGACACATTTCTAGTTTTCTTCTTAGTGTGCCTTTATTGCTAAGATCTATTTAATTGACAGACTGTTTTTAAAGTTTGAAGGGATAATCTTTGAAACATTCAGATTGGTTATTAAACTAACCATTATTTACTTTATTTGTAGCCAATAAGTAATTATACCTTTAAATTGTATGCCGTCGAAACAAATTAATTGTATACTGTCTGAATTGTATACACACCAGTCTTTCACAACGCATTACTCACCCCAAATGAGGGTAAAAATAACTCTGACATAAAGAAGTCTGCGTAGGGATGACAATTTTATTAATAAAACACAATATATTGTTCATTGCTCATTGTTTTTCAGAGTTTAAATATTGCAAGTGCAAATTTGATAGTTCCACTGTGTTACTATGTATTAAAATATTCAAAACTACTTTCACTTTCGGTTTTAATTTAAACTAACAATTGACGAAATACGAGTGTTGAACGAATACCAATAAAGGATTGTCAGAAGGAGTGTTTTGCGCATGTTTTGAGTAAAAATGATGTAAAGGCTATTACACCAACAGAGTATGGAAAAAGTTTAAATTTTCAAGTGGCCTGATTTCCGTTTTGTTCTATCACTTCGGTGTTAAAGCCGCCATGTAAAAGTAGTGCGTTCCATCATGCTTAGAGTGGTTTCACACAGGTCAGTAAGACCGGTGTACACAATGTACTGTCTGCACATATGTGTCAGAAAAAATATCACAAAAAAGGAATTTAGTATTACTATGAGTATTTATTAAAGAAATTGTATTTCAAATATATTTAAATAGTATTATTGAAAGTCATTTTGTATGACAGACACACAAATCTAGTGCTCTGCATTATAAATGTAAGAAGAGACAAATAAGATAAGCATTTTTTTTGCAAATTATTGCACTTCATATAATTTTTATTGCTTTTTTTTAAGGTGGACATGTGTCACTGTCAAGCGAATGAAGATAAGCATCACACTCGGTGGGAATCTCCAGTTTCCAGATGTAGTGATCATAACTGTATAGGCACCATTAACACTTTGGACTAGTTGGAGTATTTTAGAGGGCTAGTCTGAATTGAATCCCCTGTCAATAGTAAAGGCCAGTCATGAACATTGTGTTAAAGGAAAATGTTAAAACTCGGATTTCCCGCTTAACCAATCATTACTTTACCTTATATTCAGTGCGGTAATGTAGGAAATGGTTACTTTCTGGAACGGAGCTGTCAATTATTTTTATGCCCCCCTTCGAAGAAGAGGGGGTATATTGTTTTGCTAATGTCGGTCTGTCGGTCTGTCTGTCGGTCCGTCGGTCTGTCCGTCGGTAGACCACATGGTTTCCGCTGATTATCTTGAAAAGTATTTATCACAAAGTCTTCATATTTTACATAGTGATTGGTCATAACTAGTAGATGACCCCTATTGATTTTGGGGTCACTAGGTCAAAGGTCAAGGTCACAGGGACCTTAAATGTCAAAATGGTTTCCGCTGATTATCTTGAAAAGTATGTATCACAAAGTCTTCATATTTCACATAGTGATTGGTCATCACTAGTAGATGACCCCTATTGATTTTGGGGTCACTAGGTCAAAGGTCACAGGGGCCTTAAATGTCAAAATGGTTTCCGCTGATTATCTTGAAAAAGTATGTATCACAAAGTCTTCATATTTCACATAGTGATTGGTCATCACTAGTAGATGACCCCTATTGATTTTGGGGTCACTAGGTCAAAGGTCAAGGTCACAGGGGCCTTAAATGTCAAAATGGTTTCCGCTGATTATCTTGAAAAAGTATGTATCACAAAGTCTTCATATTTCACATAGTGATTGGTCATAACTAGTAGATGACACCTATTTATTTTGGGGTCACTAGGTCAAAGGTCAAGGTCACAGGGGCCTTAAATGTCAAAAGGGTTTCCGCTGATTATCTTGAAAAAGTATTCATCACAAAGTCTTCATATTTCACCTAGTTATTGGTCATAAGTAGTAGATGACCTCTAACGATTTAGGGGTCATTAGGTCAAAGGTCAATGTCACATGGGCCTTAAATTTCAAAATGGTTTCTGTTGATTTTTCCATAATTTAACACTTCCATGTACCCATTTTTGGCAAGTTTCTGTAATAAAATTACCAATTATGTGAGTCAATTGCTAGAAAGGGGGGTATATGTGTCGTTCGACATTCTTGTTAATTTTTTAGCTTGTTAGTGTTATCGTCGGACAGTTGTGAAGTAAAGACATCGCAGTTTGACTGTATACAAGTTGCCTTAAAGAAAGTATGTCGAAATCTTAACAGTTATTCGTTGATTTTGTAGAAATTGACCAGAATTCACCTTTGTTTACACGCATCGCTTGGACGTCGAAAACGACATGCAATGACATTTCAGTGAAATTTGGAAACTTGCTCGTATTTTGGAGCATTTTGTAGGATTTCGATGAAGTAAAGTGTTTATGATAGGATACATTATTCCTAGAGACAACCACAAAAATAAAATAGTGATCTGGTGTATTTTTACCGAACAGTTCTTGTTTGTTTTGCATGATATTTTTCTCTCGTTAGGGACCTTTATTCTTTATATATAGTATTATGAGCGTATATGGGTAAATGTGGTATATAGTGCCTGTGGTTTTATCATGTATCTTAGCTTGCCTGGTGTAATGATAAGTAATAAACCTGAGAATTGAAACTATGAGAATAAATTGTTGTTATAAGTCCCCTTATATTTTCATTAAGAGGGGACTAAAGGCTGACCCATTTCTGTATGTCAATGAAAGCTTTTAATTTTGCTATAACTTAAATGGTACAAAAGTAAGGTTCATCATACTGGTATCTGATATAGAACTATACAGAGATTTAGCATGTTATTATAATTTATGCTCCTGAAAGGGAGAGAATATAGTTGCGGTCTTAACCATCTGTCGGTATGGACTCAAGTAATATTATGGATAAATATCTGTGTTCATTCCATACAGACTTGTACTTTTGGGGAAAAAGGTTGCTCATGTGAGGAAAATATGTTTTTAATGGTGTTTTTGAGATTTTAGTTGATAAAGGAAAAAAAACATAGTCTGAACTTAGGAAGACATTTGTCCTTCACACTCTTGTCCGAAATATGAATATAACTAGATATGTATTGAAGGGATTTTATGTAAACTTCACAAAGTGATAGAGACTTTTAAGAGGAAGTGCAATGTTCAAGAAACATAACTCTACCTTGCTTCATGTTTTAATTATATCCCTTAAGTTAAAAATGCTTATTCCAAACTATCACTGAATCTACATCAACTTGAACGACTCGAATTTTCCAATGTGTCAAAGAACCATAACTCCATTCCTTAGTTTTTAGCTCACCTGTCACAAAGTGACAGGTTGAGCTTTTGTGATCCCTTTTCATCCAATGTTCCTTTGGCTGTCACCTTTAAAAATTGTGCAAAGAATTTAATTCCATGCTGAACTCCGGTTGCCATGGGAACCGAAAGAAAAAAACTTTAAATATCATCTTTAAAAAAACCCTAAGAGCTAGAGCTTAGATATTTGGCTTGAAACATCCTTTAGTGAGTGTCTACCAAGTTTGTTTAAATAAAAGCCCTGGGGTCAAAATTGGCCCCACCCCAGGGGTCATTGATTTTACCTATGTGCATATAGTAAAAACTTTATAAAATCTTCTTTTAAAGAACCCAAAGAGCTAGAGCTAAGATATTAAGCATGAAACATCATCTAATGAGTGTTTACCAAGTTTGTTCAAATAAAAGGCCCGGGGTCAAAATTGGTCCTGCCCCAGGGGGTCATTAATTTTCTTTAAATGCATATAGTAAAAACTTAAAAAAATCTTCTTTTAAGGAACTAAAAGAGCTAGAGCTAAGATATTTTAGCATGAAATATCTTCTAGTGAGTGTTTACAAAGATTGTTAAAATAAAAGCCCTGGGGTCAAAATTGGTCCTGCCCTAGGGGGTCATTAATTTTCTTTAAATGCAAATAGTAAAAACTTAAAAAATCTTCTTTTAAAGAACCCAAAGAGCTAGAGCTAAGATATTTAGCATGAACATCTTCTAATGAGTGTCTACCAAGTTTGTTCAAATAAAAGCCCCGGGGTCAAAATTGGCCCTGCCCAAGGGGATCATTGATTTTCCCTATATGCATATAGTAAGAACTTCAAAAATCTTTTTTAAAGAACCCAAATAGCTAGAGTTTATATTATAAGTTGAAACATCTTCTAGTGAGTGTCTACAAAGTTTGTTCAAATAAAAGCCCTGGGGTCAAAACTGGCCCTGCTCCAGGGTTGTCATTGTTTTTAACAGTATGTGTTAGTAAAAACTTAAAAAATCTTCTTTAAAAAAACCCAATAAGCTAGAGCTTTGATGTTTAGCATGAATCATCTTCTTAGGGATGTCTTCCAAGTTTGTTCAAATAAAAGCCCTTGGGTTAAAACTGGCCCTGCAGGGTGGGGGGGGGGGGTATATACAGGTGAGCAACCTCAGAGCCATCATGGCCCTCTTATTTAATTATCTACCTTTATTATACATGTACTTAATTATGCTTGTCCAGAGAAATACTGGAAAAAGAGTTGATGAAATTTGATTAAACTTTTACACAGCGAAAATAATCAAGTGAAAGAAAGTGTTTTTTCAAATAACCCTAATTTTTGTGTCGCCTTGAAAAGGTGACATATAGGGGTTACTTTTGTCGGTGTCGTTGTCGGTGTCCCGGAGCATAACTCAGTCACTTTAAGTCTGATTGACTTCAAACTTGGTATGCATGCTTCTTTTAATAACCCGAAGTGCAGTGCACAAGGACCGGTACTCTGCAGTTCTTATTTTTTGAGTTATTGCCCTTTGTTAATTTTCATACTTTAATTTTGTCCGGGCCATTTCTCTTCAACTAAAAAAGCTATGGACTTGATACTTCATAGGATGATAGATCTCATTAAGAAGAAGTGCAGTGCACAAGAACCAGTACTCTGTACTTCCTAATTTTTGAGTTATTGCCCTTTGTTAATTTTCATACTTTATTTTTGTCCAGGCCATTTCTTCTAATGAATAAAAGCCATGGACTTGAAACTTCATAGGATGATAGGTCTCATTAAGAAGAAGTGCAGTGCACAAGAACCAGTACTCTGCATTTCTTATTTTTTGAGTTATTGCCCTTTGTTTATTTTCATACTTTAATTTTGTCCGGGCCATTTCTCCTTAAGTATAAAAGCTATGGACTTGAAACTTCATAGGATGATAGATCTCATTAAGAAGAAGTGCAGTGCACAAGAACTGGTACTCTGCATTTCTTATTTTTTGAGTTATTGCCCTTTGTTGATTTTCTTTCTTTATTTTTGTCCTGGTCATTTCTCCTCAAGTATGAAAGCTATGGACTTGAACCATCATAGAATGATAGATCTTATTGAGAAGTGCAGTGTTCAGAAACTGCTGCTCTGCACTTATTATTTTTTATGCCCCCGCCATGTAATGGCCGGGGCATATAGTGTTACCCTGTTCCGTCATTCCGTCCTTCCGTCCTTCCGTCATTCTGTCATTCCGTCATCATCAGTTTCCGTTCATTATCTTAAGAACGGTTGCACACATTCAACTCAAATTTGACATATGAATATGTCATGACAAAATACAGGTCAAGTTCGAATTTGGTCATGGTTCGATGATTTTTGACAGAGTTATGCCCCTTTTACTTTGAAAATAATATGAAATTTCAGTTTCCGTTCATTATCTCCCCAACGGTACAACACATTCAACTCAAACTTGACATATGGATATGGCATGACAAAATATAGGTCAAGTTCGAATTTGGTCATGGTTTGATGATTTTTGGCAGAGTTATGCCCCTTTTACTTTGAAAATAATATGAAATTTTCAGTTTCCGTTCATTATCTCCCCAACGGTACAACACATTCAACTCAAACTTGACATATGGATATGTCATTAGAAAATACAGGCCAAGTTCGAATTTGGTCATGGTTCGATGATTTTTGGCAGAGTTATGCCCCTTTTACTTTGAAAATAATGTGAATTTTCAGTTTCCGTTTATTATCTCCCCAACGGTACAACACATTCAACTCAAACTTGACTTATGGATATGTCATGACAAAATACAGGTCAAGTTCGAATTTGGTCATGGTTCGATGATTTTTGGCAGAGTTATGCCCCTTTTACTTTGAAAATAATGTGAAATTTTCAGTTTCCGTTCATTACCTCCCCAACAGTACAACACATTCAACTCAAACTTGACATATGGATGCGTCAAAAGAATGCGCAGGTCATGTTCAAATTTGGTCATGGTTCAATGATTTTTGGCAGAGTTATGCCCCTTTCACTTTGAAAGTTATATGAAATTTTCAGTTTCCGTTTATTATCTCCCCAACAGTACAACACATTCAACTCAAATTTGACATATGGATATGTTTTTGGAATGCCCAGGCCAAGTTGGAATTTGGTCATGGTTCAATGATTTTTGGCAGAGTTATGCCCCTTCCACTTTGAAAATAATATGAAATTTACAGTTTCTGTTCATTATCTACCCAACAGTGTTACATATTCAACTTAATTTGACATATGGATATGTCAAAGGAATGGGCAGGTCAAGTTGAAATTTGGTCAGGGTTTGATGATTTTTTTTGCAGAGTTATGTCCCTTTCACTTTGAAAATAATATAGATACATCTTAGGAATAAGCAGTTTAAGTATGAATTTTGGTTGTGGTTCAATGATTTTAGACAAACTTATCTTTCCTGAATGTTGGAAAAATTTTGTTCTTTCAGTTTCAGCACTCATACTTTTAGCCATTATTTTGGCTACAAATATGAAATATGTTATTTTTAAAAGGTTAAGACTGAATAATTTCAGTGCCTTGAACATTGTATGAAAATGGTTTGTGTTAACATTTTAAAGTTTTAAGGGCTTTGAACTTAAAATGAAAAAAATAATTAATGCACCATCTGAAATTTTGGCTGCATGCGGGGGCATCCGTGGCATGATGACACATTTCTAGTTAGTTATTGCCCTTTGTTATTTTTCATATTTCATTTTTGTCCTGGCCATTTCTCCTAAACTACATTGTTCACAAGGCGACACATCCGACTTGCGGAGTTCTAGTTTCTAGCTTAATTTTACAATTATCATCTCTTAAAATACATGTTCAACAACTTTTAAAATAATGGTTGTCTGGAGTAAATCTCTTTTCAATGATATCACACTCAAACTAAATACAGTTGTAGAGACTAGTGAGCAGAAGTCTTGTGTCAAATAACCAAAATTCTACATTACTTAGTTTTTGAATTATCTCCGTATATATTTCATGATACTGTTCAGAGAGAGGATTAAAATATTGAAGGAATTTGATTGAAACTTTATAAACGTTATACAGTGAAAGAGATTAGCATGAGAATTGCAGTAAACAAAGGCCATTATAAGTTCTAATGACATGGTCACATTCATATAATGTGATGCAAAAAATATTGACCATTTGAGTGTTTTACTTGATACTGATACAGAAAATTTGATATATATCACAATTGATTATTTTTTCATAGCTTTGTCTCCCTTTATAATGTCATGTGTTAAAATAGTCAAGCTTGCAGTTTCCTCTGGTAGCTCTAATTTCACTTGTTGCTCTTGTCAAAAAAGGCCAATAACGGTTTATGATGGACCTACACATACATGTAAACCTAAATATTATATTTAACATGTG